GATCTTAATCAGCCTGAAGGTATTCACCTAGTTTCATTCACATGATATAGCGTCATAATTTTTGACGTCATAATAGTTCTCAAGTATATCGAGTCATCATGTTACATCGGGTTATAATACTGTTTAATGGAAGCATCACCATTTAAATTTACCACCGCTTTTTTTTCCCTAAATGTTTAAAAGTGATCATTATCAATGTGTATTTCATATTTATATTAACTTAATATTAATTTAAAAGAACAGATATTCATAAAAACACACACAAAGCCCGATCTTAAAACATATATGTTTCAATGTTATTTAGTCTGGTAAACTCACATGGCAACCGCATGGCAGTTAAATCAAATTACATTTTAGGCATGCCATGTATGCTATGATATAACACCCAAGTGAACTAGCGGCCAACAAAACTTGGACAATGCTCCATAACAGTGAATCCAATATTCAAATTTAAGAAAATGTATATCTGAGGTAGATGTAGACCTATTACACTTAGGAAGCTTCGTAAACCAGCATCAGGTTTGACTACATTTAATAAAAACATAGTTTTGTTCATGGTAAATAATTTTTTGTACCAACGGTACCAACGGTTGCTAGTTTAACAGTGAGGGCACGAAGATCTACGGTAGATGTAAACGTATAGAACAAATAAAGCTTAAAAATGCACCCAAAACTTTCAGGAACACTTGTTGCACCATATCTTTTAGAAGTTTACTGATTCATTATAATTCTATAATTCTATAATTTTAAATGTCAAAATACTTACATTTCAAAGCCTCTTTTTATTTTAAATAGACTGGTGTCTTTCCCCCGATCATAACCGTAATAGTTTCTGGTTAGGTTCCTAATTCAAAGTTTCCAATGCAGTGAAACCTTCAGACCATGACGTTGCATATAAAACTGACTTGAATGTCCATTAGTAGCCTTTTACACAAATCGTTTAATGGCGAAATTTTGGAAACAAGTACAATTATTCGTGAGATGACCATTGGCCAATCTGAATCATGACTTGAATGGCGTATCTAGTCATTTGCTCCTAGTTGTGGGTGTGTCTGTGTGTGTGTGTGTTTGTATGCGCGCGGGAGGGGGAGGAATAAACCGACGATTAATCAGACCCGTTGTTATTGTACTGCTTTAAGAGTTGGACAATTTGGGATTGGATCAAAGGGTACCGATATCATACTTACAAGTTGGTGGAGCATTCCTTAAATTGGGTCTATTATTTGGCGGGGAAAAATAGTGTCAAACACTGGATAAGTTGTATTAAAATTCCTTTCCGCGTCTGTTGTACAATATTCAGTACTTGCAGGAGTACTTTCATTGGTATTATATACCAAGCAATTTTGAAATATCAACTTTACCGCAGGAGGGGGAATCGTCGGACGTTGTCCCCCCCCCCCCCTCTCTCTCTCTCTCTCTCTCTCTTCATCTTTTCCTTTATTACCTTCTCATCTTTCAGCATATGACTATAAATTTAAATTTTTGTTAAGATTTCGGATTTTTCATATATATATATCGACATTTGTTGTTGTTGTTGTTTGTAATGCTTCATTAACCATATTTCTTTATTTTCGGTTTCATAGATAATACTTCATAGTACATGTAGGAGAAAACAAATGCTTTGGATAATAGTCCATTATTCATCGGTTTAAATTTTAAACATACATATTTTTCTGGGGGATCTGTATTTTTATTTTTGTAAGGGGGGGGGGGGATGAATTCTACGAAATATAAGGGGGTTGTGTTCTAGCCTCCTTCAGTATGCCAGTAGTAGGTACGGAACCTTGAACTTAATACTGGTTGGTGCGTGTGATGAGATTAAGTTTTACGAGAGGAGACCGGCTCCCTGATATACGATGGTTTCATCGTGCCTTCCGAACACCAAACGGAATAAGAATTGAATGCAAATAACACTAAAATGACGTAGGCGCTTTACGGACACCATAGAGGCATCCTCACAGCCATGCAATCAAATACTGTCTTCAATTTCAGCGATGACTTGTGAGAAGGAATACATTAATGGTATGTGAGGTAATCCGTATTTGGTTAGAAATTCCCCTGGTTTTAGGTAGGCCAGTTTATGCCGCTTACGAAACAATGCTTTCATCGTGGAAAAAGGTTTTTGATCTTCTTCCCCCTAGAATGTAATTTTTTTTAGGTCGATGTTTAAAAAAAATATTAATAGCATTTTTACATTTCAGTTTAGCATAATCTTCTCAGTAGGTTCATCGAAGTCAATTTATTATATATTTTCTAAAATAGATATGATAAATGCAAACTTTCTGCATGGCAATATCTTCCATTTCATTTTTACACAGTGGAAATCGGTATAAAAGAAACAAACTTTTGAGTAAGGCGAGTACATGAAATATAGACATTCCTTCTGCATTTAGAAGGGTATCTGTCAAAAAGGCTGAGAAACTGTATCCTTCTGAATCATCCTAAAGGATGCTATCATGGTAGCATCTTTCATCTACTAATCTCGGCTTGCTTTGCTGATGCTTGAGAGATAAAGTGCGGAGAGGTAGACTAGCTGGAGACCTTGGGAGCTAACCGACCAGAATCAATCCCCATCCCCTTGATGCCCTGTGATGGCGGGTAGAGTTTGGTTTTCGAACGCACATCCTCTTAAGGAACGGAGAGTCAAGACAGAAAACAAATAACGTTTTGTTTGAGGATTTCATCGGAGACTCAAAGGCGATCTCGGCACGTATGACTGCTGCCCAACTTCCAAGACGCGCGTCAGGCGGACGGACATGCTTGATTGGCGCGAGATCACTGGCTGTCCGATTCGTGTACATACACACACGCACTCCAACCCTCCCGCACTCCAACCCTCACCCACATACACTAACACGCACACATTACTCTCAAACACGACGAAGTCCGTCGCCGGCGTTCCTCCTTAATGTCATTTGTACGCAAGGGTCTCTTGCAAACAACTTAGAATGGCTGTTGTTTGAACAGCAAACCGAGGAAAGAGCCATTAACCGTCAAGTTCAGCGACATTACTGTATTTCCGTTTATAACTAAGGAAGAATATTGAGGAGCAAATTTCTGACATAACCACAGCTTTTTTTCAAAGAAGTGTGGATGAAATGTGTTATCTTAATTTACTTTTTATTCGTTTTTATTAATAAATCACAAGTGTGCACGAGTCAACTAGTGCTCAAGTTTAGAATATCAGAATATCAACGCCGAAGGATACTTCACCTTCAATTCAATATCAAATAAATTTATTTGAGTTATATTTCGTTTCATACTGTAACAAGATGTAAATTTAAAACACCTACTCTTCGTAAACACACATCCAAAGCTTGACCTTAATGATAATTGATTAAAACTGCCTATTGAATGGAAGTCGGTAAAAGAGTGCTAAAGGTAGTCTATGGGTTATACATGTAGGTATTATGTTCAATTAAAAAACACTCTTAATGTCATCTGTACGCTAGGGTTTCTTGCAGACAAGTTGCACATGAACTGAATTTAAAAATGGCACTGGCATCGGATATTCCACCTTTAAAATAAGGCATTGGTGCGCCATATTCTCTCCCCAATCAAGGTACGTGGATGCCACATATTATATAACACGATCACAACTCTGTTCGAAAATTCGACTCTAAAAGGACAATATCAATATCCAATTGTATGTCCCATAGAAAATATGTTCTGATTACGTAATATGGCAGTGTCATGTTTGCACATTTCAATAGGTGACGCACAATTTTATTGAAATTGCCCTTATCTGATTTTTCGAAAGTAGTTATTATCTTGTCTTGTTATATATATATATATATATATATTTCATTACAGTGAAACTATACATGTAATTTAGCATACAAAATAGAACATGCTTGATACTTTCAATTCTTCTCCACCACAATATTGTATGATGAATAAGAACAGCCATATTTACTTCATTTTTGAAGATCTTGTTTCATGAACATAAAAAAAAACCTCACTGAAATCTGGAAATCGCTCTACAGTGACATTTTTAAAATATGGGAAAATAGTCAAAAGAAGGTGCAACCAACTTGAGGACTGCTGCATATAATTTATTTTTCTTATTCGCAACGCGCTCGTTTTTCTGCATATCTGCTTAAAGGTAACCTAGATAATTCATGCTCACCCCTTCCACTATGGGCTAGCTAAATCTTTGACTCTTTGACAGATAACATACGTCATAATTAGGTATCCAAACAAGACACCCTATTCCCAAGAAATAAAAATCGAGTTTAGAACCAAAAGCAGGGGAACGTGATTACATATAGTCTGCACGAATCCATGCATGACTCGCCGTAAGAAAGCTAGCGGGGATATGAGGTATGTGTTTGTTTTCGGTCCACAGTTTCCCCTTCCACGGCTCCTGTTATATTTCAATCAGTAAATTAGATTTTTGGTCCCGCAAGACTTAGATGGAGTTTCGCCAAAACAATACAAAGAATATAGCTCCAGGAGTGTGTTCTGAACGAAGTAACCGTCTAGTTGCATGCAGCCTGGATGTGGAAAGGGAAAGCATGTAGACTGATGAGAGAAGAAAAGGTAGACTGAGTGTACTTTGATCTGATTAACAAAATCACAACAATTTGGTTTAGATATACCATTTATCCAACTCTGCAGTCTTACTTTTTTAATTTTTTTTTTATTGTTGTTTTGGCTTGTTTCGTTTTATTTCATTTTGGTTTTGCAAAGTTGTTTTTATCTTCTTTATTTCCTGGAAGAACACCGGTCATTTTATTCGTATCGCGTTCGGCTAGAATCCTTGCATACTAGTAACTAATGATAATATCTATGTACCCATTAGTTATTATACAACCGTAATCATTTTAATTGTGGTTCCAAATTATCCATGAACTGGCCAATCTATGTTGAAGAAAAGCCACTACTCCTCGTGAATAAAATGATTTGATTTATTTTTCTTTCATTAATCTTCCCTTCATGGAAATGATCTGACAGAGGTCGTGGGAACCCTACACATATTGAGAATGGTAAATACTTACGGTGGAAGGTTTGCACTATAGGGGGCGCTCTGTAGGGCTTCCATGCGGGTTGTTACTCCATGCGCCTCTTGTCATAATCATCTGCAGTAAATGAAAAGCAAAGTGGAAAAAAAATGATATTAGCATATGACCGATATCTCTTATTATTTATGTATTTTTCTTTAAAACAGAGTGTCAATGATAGTCCTTATAATGTTCGTTATCATAGTTATCTTCCTCATTATCATCATTGCAATCATCCTGCTCATCTTTTTCATTGTCAAAATCACCATCATTACCGTCATCATCTTCGTCGTCAACTTATGTGTGTGGCTTGTTGCTACGGGACTATGGTTCCATAAGTCTATCAAGTTTTCTTGTTATATCAAGCCTACACGTCATAAGTGACATAACACCTTTTGAATAACAAAAACGAAACAACACCAGTTCTGCTATTGTCGACAAAATAGCATTGGCAATGTGGCAGCACAAAAAGAAATAAAAGAAAGCAAACAAAACACCCGGTTGATTTCCCTCGTGTTTCTGAATCTCTTTTGCAAATCAACCACAACACGAAATTGCCAGGGAAAATTCTGCTATTGTGAGAGTTGAAGAGCCGCAAACCAGAGCAGCGTATCGTGTTCTGACCTTATCTTCTCTTTAAAGGAAGGTTTAGGTCTGAAATGAACCGCAGCCCGACACATTATCCCCAATATCCGTTGGAAAGCAACATACCTTAAAGAAAATCCGTATTCTAGAGACAACCGTACTTCACAACTAGTTGCGGCATTACGAGAACTATTGCAAAATACTATTTAAAAGAGGGCATGAAATATCCAGCTAGCCTGTATTCACAGACTACAAAATTGCATGTAACCGATATCACCGTCGCCGCGCCAAATATCAGCGAGCTGCAGGAAAGTAAATTGCGGTGAAATTCACGCTTTTTAGAAAATCTTGTTGTTGTCGTCCGTCGGTCAAGAATTCTTGTTAACAAGGTTTTGTTTTCATTTAGCACGTCTCTTAGGACGTTCCATTATTCAACGAAATGAAAAGTAACTCCTCGTACAGTTTGTGTATGAGATGATTAAATGCACTGCGTAGACCATGTCAATGCCGTTTTATCACTTTGGAGAAAATTCACTCACATTTTGGAGGAATAAGTGTTAATTACATTGATTCTTTGGAAGGCTTTTGGCATTTTGAGAGAAACGGTAATTGAGTCAATTAAAGAGAAGGAAAAAGGAAATAATAATTTACAGACGAAAACATTGTGACAATAAATTAGAAGGTCATAAAGACGAGAAATGATAACTGAAATATTATTCTTATATACACTGGATAGTAAGGATTTTATTTGAACTAATATTAATTGATGAACTGGACAGCTAAAATCTGCAAGTGGATATTGTATTATTATTGTATTATATAAAATACGTTACATATCATACAATTATGTTCATTGTATAATTTGTTTAAGCCATTTGTGAGCGAAATTAATACCCATGTGAAACGTACTTTGGACATAATTATGAATACATGAAATGAAATTGATATTTGTATCCAGTGGCGGATCCAGGGGGGAAAACGTGTAAAAACACGTTAATTTAACATTTTTTGGAGATGGGCCCCCTCCCCTGGCGCTCAAGGAGGGGGGGGGGGGGAACGATTTTTCAAATTTTCGAGGTGCTCACTACCCACCCCCAATCCCATCCCCCACTGAGCGAATTATCGGCAGGCGCGATTTTCACATTTTCGGGAGCAAAAAAAATATAGTGCTCACTACCTCCCCCCCCCCTCCCCCTTCCCCCCCCCCCCCCCCCCCCCCCACTGAGCGAATTATCGGCCGGCTATTTCGCTGCTAAATTTTTTTCTCACGAGTTGGGCCCCCTCCCCTGCCGCCGGCTGGATCCGCTCCTGTTTGTATCTACCTGATACAAATATTGGGGTGGTAGGAGGATATACTTTATTTACGAATGACATTAATATTTACGGTAAGGTGAATAACGTCATACAGATATATGCTTGATATAGTATTATATCGAATAGGCCTAATTGATTTGTAGATAGAATTTGGTTAATTATCAAACATGTGATCAGTATCGTCCCCAATAGCTTTTTTCTACACGTCTATGCCAGCCCCATCGGATCTCAGTTTTCCAATATGATCATCTGTGCCTTCTATAGTAAGACTGATTTATTGACAGAAGTATGACAGGGAAAAAAATCCTTAAAATAACAAACAATTAGGTAGAGAGTCACGTACTCGCCATGTCGGTTGACTGATTTTTACCCTGTCCAAACTCTGTTTGAGTAGCCAAGAGCAAAGTAAAGATTCGTGCTCGGTCAGGCTTTCGGTCATTTCTTCCTGCCATGTTCGATCTCTAATCGTAATCCCACCTACAGAGAGCGCCAGACTAATATCGCATCTCTTGTTGCATGTAGCGATTAAATTTTGAACATTGAGATAAATTGGTAGAACTGCTATTTGCGTTTTCCGTCACTGCCCATGTAGCATTATATTGCATTGTAATGTTGGTAGAATATGAACTTTACAACAGTGCTCGAGAGCAGAATGTCCATTCATGATATCTTATACTAACACATGCAACCCATCAATTGCAATCTGTACCGTCATATAATCCATTGCATTCCCATTGGAAAAGATATACATTGTGTTAGGGTAGGTAACTTATCGGGGAAATGTAGCGTGCGTTCAAGGACCTTCTTCGAATCAACCTCGACAATAATTACAAACGCCACCAATCGATACAAGGCGTTTAGTTGCGATTACGATACCATACTTCCAATCGGCTATCTGGGACAGACTTTCGCTCATCTGACGGTGTTTTGATATGAGGTTTTTCGTATCTCTTGCAGGATGCTTGGTTGGGTGGAATGGAAGACAAAGTTATATGGTTAACCGCTAAACTAGAACAAAGAAGAACTATATAATTAGGAATATGTTATAAATTCCCCTAAGAAATTAAGTAGCAGATGCAAAGACTTGCAACTGCAACAATATCATTTACGATATGTTAAGACAAAGTTGGTTTCGCTGCCATTTTGATTGCAGTAAAAGAGAAGAGTCGGTATTCATGTATGTAAAGATTAACTTTATCGACATGATCATAATGATCAACCTAACCACTGGGCCTAACCATCGACTCTTATCCGTGTACCAGATATTGCGGCAAATACTAGTCAATTTTAACCATTTTTAACCGTGACAATCACGTTCACATCTACATAATTACACAATTACATGACGAAAAATTCTCCCCATTTCTCACATGTAAACACAAACATTGTCAGGATCAGAATGCAAGTTACAAGTCAAGTAGAAAGAGGTGTATGAAGCCGGTCAACGAATGGAAAAAAATCGGCGGGGGCCCTCGCTTTAATCGCAAGGTTAGTCAGTACACTGTTAGAACGGTGTTTAAAATATCACTGTTTAAAAGAATGTTGTTTAAAAAGTAAACAACGTTGTTCAAAATCGAAAAATCAGTGCTCGATTGACTTAAACAACTATGTATTAAAAGACAAAAATATTTAATTAAACAGAGTTGTTTAAAAAGTCCCGGGGGCGTCGTTGATATTTTCTCGATACGCGATTGCTATTTGCGCACACACATGCGATATTCAAAAAGTACGTACATAATACATACATGCAAGCATGCAGTGCTTAGTGTGTGCAGTGCAAGTGCTAGTGCAGTGCAGTGCAGACGAAAATGGCGGAACAAGGGCAAGGCGACGACTTGGTTCTTCTCGGCTTCGCTGATGGGGTTTAGGTGAAGTTATAGAGACAAATAATAATGTCTGTCACTGCCATGAATATGATGAACAAATGTTGAAGTAAATTGGCAACAAGCTCTGCATGTTGCAGTGTATAAATCGTTGTGATTATTGTAGGAGTGGTTCCAGTAGGTCATTTCACAAATTCAAACAACCAGATAATAACCATTAAACAGTTCTGTTTAAAATTTAAGCAACTCCTTTTAAACAACCCAGTTGTGCAGTAATACTGAATAAACAACAGTTGCTTAGTAATTTAAACATTATTGTTTAAAATTTAAACAACTTGCTTTAAACAACTGAGTTGTGCGATTTTATTACTAAACAACTGTTGTTTAAAAGGTTTCCTAATTTTTAAACAACTAAGTGTTCAAAATGTAAACAACCTTAATTTGTTTAATCTTTAAACAACGTTGAGCGATTCACCGGTTAACTCGGGGTGTTTAAAATTTTAAACAACTTGTTTAATTTTTTTCTAACAGTGTACGTCACTAAGCAAATCACTTTGGAATTTCTTGGTTTTCAGTCATTAAACCAATCATCTGCCATGGTAAACTTTTCGTGCATATTTTTATCAATAATATGAATATTGAAATACATTAACCTTTGTAAAGGTTGATAAATCAAGGCTGAAAAAAGTACATCCATTCAAAATACTGACAGTCCGATCTGCACTGGGCAATATTCCAATATTGTTCCCAAAGGAGTAAGTCAGGCAGGGTCTTCCTAATGCCCCTGTCAAACTAAGGCAATTATTCTAGTGTATCGACAATTATAGTGTACGTCGTTTCATTACACCTCTTCCTTTCATGGCAGAAATTGAACTATCATTGTAATATTGTATATTCGTGAAGAGAACAACTTTAAGACGGTTTGAACTGTTCTGTTTCAGTTTATCTTGTTCTGACAAACTCAACTTGGACTTCGCGCAGGTTTCACGGCGAAGTTACGATATTGATCTTTCCAAATTGTCAGAGCGGATCCGCGAATCCTATAGGTGCAGTTGTGGTTAGGAGATGACAACAATTCGTGATTAACATTTAAAAAGTTTGCCGCAGTGTGAATGAGGCATAAACCTTCCCTCTAATCCTATTTCGTTATGTCATATTGAAGAACAAACAAAGACATGGAGAACGTGCCACTCTCCTTGCTTGGAGCATAAATTAAAATTGCATTGCTCAATACTCATCTCCAGTGCTCTCGGTGAAAATTTAATTGATTTAATCGCGCGTTTCGCATGACATTTATGAAATATTCACGATCGAAGCGTAATTACGATAGCACCGTCAAGCCATGATCCACTGTCG